GTCTTTGGTTGCGGACTCGGCCGACGAGAGCAGAGCGGACACCACCAGCCCATCATCATCAGCATTATCGCCGCCGCCGCCAACACACGAAGCGAAGGGCGATAAATGGAGTACTCAAGCGTGTTCACCTCAGCGCTGACGCCGTGACTGTCCGGGCGGAGATAGGAGAGGGGGGGTCATGGGGGGGGGGGGAGTCACGGGGGGGGGTCTAGGCCCTAGGGGGGTCGTGGGGAGGGGGTCTAGGCCCTAGGGGGGGGGGTCACGGGGGGGGGGAGGGGGGAGAGTCGCGAGGGGGCCGGGGAGAGTCGCGGGGGGGGGGGAGGGGGTCTAGGCCCTAGCGGGGAGAGTCGGGGGGGGTCTGGGGGGGGGGGCTGGGGAGAGTCGCGGGGGGTGTGGGGAGAGTCGCGGATACTCACGAGGGGGGAGGGGGGTCACGAGAGAGCCGCGATCGCTGCGGTGCCGTCACTGCGAGGTCACGGGGGCGAGGAGGTCACGGAGGTCCCAGGGTCACGCGGGGTCGCGGCTCCTCTTAGCCGAATTAATGGATGGGGGGCCCCGGGTGGGGGGGGGTGTGCCCTGGGAGGGGGGGTCCTGAGGGTTATGACGTCACGCGCGATGTTTATAAATATGGAGGGACGGTGGCGTCATGCGGGGACGCTATAATGACGTCACGCGGTCGCTGTCGTGCGCGTTTTGCGTCACGCGTCAAAAGCGTGCGATAACGTTGCCCGTTGGTTCTTCACGATGACGTCACTACCGACAAGGGAGACGCCAGTCGCCTGATGACGTTACGCTATTCGAACTATCAAAATAACGAGGTGTGTGTTTGCTGTCGTGAATAGAATGAAGGTCAACGTTCGTACAGATAAATCAGACGAAAGTTATCAGACGCATTTACGCTTCTAATCACGACTGAGTTTGTCAAATCGCCCGCTGTACATTTACGAAACGCGACGACGGAAGCCGCCGTAGGGCCTTGCGCGCGTTAACCAATCACGCGTCCCGTAACGAAAGCTGGCGGGGGTTTTACGCCGCCTGCGATTGGCGGGAGTCTGGTCACGTGGTGCAAATCGAATCCCCCCCTCCCTCCCCGTTACAGCCCTCTCCCATCTCATGGCTGCGATTGGCGGAAGTGCGGTCACGTGGGGATTCTGTGTCTCCACCCACCCCGCCTCACCCCTTTTGCGAGCCCTCTGATTGGCTCACACTAAAGACAAAGATCCTCCCCCCCACCCCACCGTGTCGCCTCTAGGAGGCTGTAGGGGCAAGTGTTGTTCGGCACACACAGAGGTGGCCAGCACCACGCCCGGTCGCCTTTGTCTCCCCAGTGGCGAGGTCTACTGCGCACCACACCACGCTGAGTCGACCTAGGGCAGGCCCCGGGACCGGTTCAGATAATTGGCTTGCATACACGCACGCGCGCACGCTGATTGGCCGCCGTTCGGTCACGTTGGTCAACAAAGACCCCCACCCCTTTACAAAGCCTGTGATTGGCTCATATTCCGTGACGTCACTTTTCTGAGTATCCGCCCATCGAGTCCCCCGCAAATGGAAGGGAGGGCACGGAGGGGTGTGGGCGGGGCCTGAGAGCAAGGGGCGCGGGTTAGCGTGGGAGGGCGTGGCCGGGTGAAAGGAGCGACGCTCACAACAACGAGCGGAGCGACGGGCGGATAAAACGGAGCGAGTTGGCCACAGTGTTGAGCACAGGCGGTGCATCTGCTAGCCAAGTCAATCCATGGCACCACCTGGGTCTGTCCCGTGACCTGCCTGCAACGAGCATTCGACACTTCAAGTCGCACCTCAGCCTGGCCACACCCGCACGTGGTGGTGAAGTCGTCACCGGCTACTCAGTGGTGACGCGGCGACTGTTGTCGTTGAGGCTGTCAGGGGGAGAACGAGACGGCTGGGAGTGGACTGGGGGAGAGGGCGCGGTTTAGGAATGGACGGGGGGGCGGGGTTACTCGGTGGGGGCGGGTCTGGGTGGGTGTAAGGGGCGTGGTTTCTGTTTGAGGGTGGGGTCTCAGTAGGGGCGGGGCTACTGTGAGAAGGGGAGGGGTCTGTTCGTGCGTGAGGGCGTGGTTACTGCTGGAGGGCGAGGTCTGTGTGGGGGCGTGATTACCTCGATAGGTGGGCGGGGTTTGAGTGAGGGTGGTGGTTATTGCGGGAAGGGGCATGGTGTGGGCGTGGTCGGGCTTGGATTTAAGTGGGCAGCCTGCAGCCTCGGTCATCGCGGGCCCGCGTAGCGCGCCGTGATCGTATAGTGGTCAGTACTCTGCGTTGTGGCCGCAGCAACCTCGGTTCGAATCCGAGTCACGGCATTGCGGCGATCAATGACACGGCATGCGGCTCCCTGTTTCTTTTGATGAAACCAATCGGCTTCGATGGTCTCCTGAATTAAAAAAAAAATATGTATAAGAAATTCGTAGTGCCTAAGGGGCCGTCCATCAAATCACGTCGCGGGGTGCTGGACGATTTTTGACCCCCCCCCCCTTCGTCACACGGCGTTACAAGAAGTCAGACCCCCCCCCCTCAAGATATGACGTCACAAAGCTCTGCCCCCCCCCCCAAAAAAAAATATAAAACATGCTTCAAATCGAATTTTGTTTGATTTAAAGCTTTCGTGACTGCAGGGATTCATATTCTTGGTTCTTTCGGTAAAGTCACGTCATGACTTTACCGAAAGTACCAAGAATATGCTTCAAATCGCTTTAACCTATTGTCATTGTAGTGCGTATTTAATGCGGCGCTGCACTCTGACGTTGTAGGAGAAAACATTATTTTCGTCTCCCCCTTCATCTTTTCCGAACATAGATGGACTTATATTCTTGGTTCTTTCGGTAAAGTCACCACGTAGAAGGGAAACAAACAAAATAATAAAAATATAAAACAATAAAATTCTCGCGACGTTTCGACTGCAACACAAGCAATCATCATCAGGTGTGGAAACCACAGCAAGAAAATTTGTTTTATATTTTTATTTTTGTATTCGTTTTTGTTTTGTTTAATTGTTTCCCTTCTACGTGACTTTACCAAAAGAAAGCTTTAAATCAAAATAGATGGACTCGTCCACCTGAATAATTGCCAAATCGCTCTCCGTGGTGCTAACGTAAACAAACAAACGCCACTTTTTTCAAATTTACTTGCTGTGGTTTTCACACCTGATGATGATTGCTTGTGTTGCAGTCGAAACGTCGTGAGAATTTTATTGTTTTATATTTTATTATTTTATTGTTTCCCTTCTATGTGACTTTACCGAAAGAACCAATAATATGAATCCCTGCAGTCACGAAAGCTTTAAATCAAAATGTATTAAAAAGTATATTTAAATAAGTAGAACGTGTTGTCTATATTTATTTCAAGTTGCGCATTTTGATGTGACGTCACATTCTCAAATACTCCCCCCCCATCGTCACACATCGTCACAAATGTCTGACCCCCCCCTCCCCCTAGGTGCGTGACGTCATTTATGGACGGCCCCTTACTAGTTTAGCTCACCAATAAGCGCTTAACTACTAGTCACTAATTGGCACGCTTTGGTGTGTATATGAGGGAGTAACATGTTTATTGTTGAGTGATATATTAACAACAACAACAATCACTCCGTGCTTACAGAGAGGCAATTCGACAAAACCCACAGCGGTTCGAGAGTTGAGGGTGTTGGGTGGGTGGGTGGGTAAACGAACAACAATAAAAACTCTTAACTAGTTTACTTCATTGTGCCAGACACAAGCCCCGCTGCGCCATACCGCTTAGCTCTCTCTGTCAGAAGCGACCTGTCAATCACAAGTGATGGGCTCAGCGCAGCCATCATCATCATCGTGTGGATGTTTATATCGGCAGCCAAATAACTCTAAAACGCCGTGACGATGTCGAAGCGGGTGGTGGGGGTGGGGGGAGAAAATCCGGAGGAATCCCGAGAAAAATCCACGCGACCACGTGGGAGAGAGACACCGCCGACTCCAAATACACAGCAGCAGCAGCAGGTGTCAGGGGTCGGGGTCGGACCCACGACCTCCTGCATACCAGGCGAGGTGGTTAACATCTCCTATGTCTCGACCTCGACTCACGACCCAGTTCATCACGATGGCATCACGCGGCGTGGAGTTGGGTGTGGGGAGCGGTGGCGCAGCGGTTAGCGCAACGCCGCGCTCAGAGACCCGGTGACCCGAGTTCGATCCCCGCTCACGGCCACCAACACCGCTGACGATTATGTGAACCGGTGATGGGCCTACCCCTGGGTCGACTCAGCCTCAAATGAGTGCCTGGTGCGGTGTGCAGTAAACATCGCCACAGGGGGAGACAAAGGCGGCCGGGCGCGGTGCTGGCCACCCAGCCCCTCGTGCGCCGTGCCGGCCTTCATAGGTGCTGCTACTCGCTAACGGCACTTGCCCCTACAGCCTGTGAAGGCTACACGGGGCATCTTTGCCTTTGTTTTGATGAGCGATGATGCGGTGCTGGGGATGCTGGCGATGGTGGTGACGGTGGTGCTAGTCGCGGTGGTGACGGTGGTGTTGATGGCCATGTTTGCTGTGGTGACGAGTGATAATGATGGTGATTCTCACATCGATGGTGACCTTGAAGACAATGCGGATTGTGTTGGTGACGGTGGTGGCGTTGGGGGGCGGGGGGGGTATTGAGGGGGTAGGTGGGGAGTTAGGCAGGTGGGGTAAGTGGGGAGATAGGTAGGTGGGGTAGGTGGGGAGTTAGGTAGGTGGGGTAGGTGGGGTAGGTGGGGAGATAGGTAGGAGGGGGATATGTAGGTGGGGTAGGTGGGGAGTTAGGTAGGTGGGGTAGGTGAGGAGATAGGTAGGAGGGGGATATGTAGGTGGGGGGGGGTAAATGGGGGGGGTAGGTAGGTAGGTGGGGTAGTTAGGCGGGGAGGGGGTATGGGGATTTGTTAGGCGGGGGATAGGTAGGGGGGGTAGGTGGGGGGGTAGGTAGGTGGGGTAGGTGGGGAGATAGGTAGGAGGGGGTAGGTGGGTGGGGGGGTAAATGGGGGGGGTAGGTAGGTGGGTGGGTAGCTAGGCGGGGAGGGGTGTCACTCCTCCTGGGAGCCCGCCTCGAACCCCAGCGTGGTGGCCACTGGGAAGTGGGCCCAGTAGACGCGGGCCATGTCGCTGTGCGGGTCGTAGGCGCCCGTGGCCCGCAACTCGTGCACCCATGCCCAGAAGTCGGAGGCCGAGTAGCTCCAGTTGGGTAGCTCCCGGCGAGGCCGTGGGGACTGCAGGCGGGCACTGCGGGAGCAACCACGGGACAATGTCGACACCATCGATGTCGTGAGCGTCACCGTCAGAATCATCGTCACTATCATCATCAGAATCAGCAGGTTGGTGGGGGGGGGTGCCGGGGTGGGTGAGTGGACGGGCAACCACAGGACATCATCACCACCATCGTCAGAATGAGAATCACCACCATCATCACTGTCATCATCACTATCATTATCGTCAACATCGCCTCCATCATCATCACCTTCATTATCATCATCGCCATCACCATCATCACCATCATCATCGCCATCATCACCATCATCATTGCTATCATCATCACCATCATCGCCATCGTCATCACCTTCATCATCGCCATCATCATTGCCTTCATCATCACCATCATCGCCATCATCGTCATCACCATCATTACCATTACCATCATCATCACCATCATTACCATCGTCATCATCACCATCATCACCATCATCATAATCGCCATCATCACAAGGATAGCTGTTGGCAGCCTGTAATCCAGCACTGCAGGGGCGAGGGTTAGTGGACCACGTACGGATCGTGTGTGAAACTCCCTCCTCTGCCAGGAGAAGACGGTAGAGCAGAGTGTGGGGACGAATCTCCATCTGTTTCTATCCGTACGGGCCAGAGCGTTCCCGCCCATAACACGCGTGGAGTTTCTCCCAAACCATCACCACCACCACCACCGTCATCACTCTTCTTCTTTCGTATGGCTGATGTCCATAAATGACGTCACGCGATTTTGGATGATTTTGACCCCCCCCCTCGTCACACGGCGTCACAAAAAGTCAGACACCCCCCCCTCAAATATGACGTCACAAAGCTGTGCCCCTCCCCCCCCCCCAAAAAAAACCACGTGCTTCAAAGCGCTTTAAACTATTGTCATTGTAGTGCGTGTTTAATGTGGCGCTGCACTCTGATGTTGTAGGAGAAAACATTTATTAAAAAGTCTATTTAATTAAGTAGAACGTGTCGTCTATATTTATTTAAAGTTGCGCGTATTGATGTGACGTCACATTTCTCAAACCCCCCCCCCTCGTCACACATCGTCACAAATGTCTGACCCCCCCCCCCCCCCCCAGGTGCGTGACGTCATTTATGGACGGCCCCCAACAGCACAACCACCGTCATACTCACACCCACAATCCTCACCCATCTTCACTATCACCATCACTATTAGAATCACCATCATTATCACTCGTCACCACAGCAACCACAATCATCACCACCAAGATCACCACCATCGCCAGCCGTCCCCAGCACCGCATCATCACCATCAAAACAAAGATCCCCCGTGTAGCCTTCACGTATTGTTGGGGCAAGTGTGCTGTTAGCGAGCACCACCTACGGCACCACGCCCGGCCGCTTTTGTCTTCCTCGTGGCGATGTTTACTACACACCGCACCAGGTACTTATTTGAGGCTGAGTCGACCCAGGGGAGGCTCAAGACCGGTTTAGATACTCGTCACTGGTGGCGGCCGTGAGCTGGAATCGAACTCGGGTTGCCGGGTACACAGCGCAGCGAGCAAAACCACGACACTACCGCTCCCCATCACCATCACAGCCACCACATCAGTACCACCATCATGATCACCATCACCACCATTACCACATCAGCATCATCACCACCTTAGCACCGCCATCATGATCACCGTCACCACCATCACCACATCAGCATCATCACCACCTTAGCACCGCCATCATGATCACCTTCACCACCATCACCACATCAGCATCACCATCACCACCTTAGCACCGCCATCATGATCACCGTCACCACCATCACCACATCAGCATCACCATCACCACCGCCATCACTATCACCACCACCTTAGCACCCCCATCATGACCACCATCACCATATCAGCATCACCATCACCACATCACCATCACATCAGCACCACCATCATGATCACCGTCACCACCATCACCACATCACCATCGCTATCACCACCACCACATCACCATCACTACCACATCAGCACCACCACCACCACCACCACATCGTCCTGGGATGACAGGTCACGTGGTGCGCCACTCACTCGCCAGGGAGACGCAGAGGAGAGCAGCGCCCAGCAGGGCCAGGCAGGTCACGTGACGCATGGCCCGGCCTGAAACGTTGCAGGGCGGGGGCGGTGAGACACTTTCCACGTTCCTATGGCGGAGGCCAGTCGGTCCGCAGAGCGAGCCCAAAGGGATGAAGGTGGTGAGTGTGTTGATGGTGATGATGGTGCGGTGGTGTTGATGCTGATGAAGGGGTGTTGATGGTGATGGAGGTTGATGATGATGGGATATGGATGATGGAGTGTTGATGATGGAGTGGTGATGATGTTGATGGGGGTGATGGTGATGGAGCGTTGATAATGGTGATGATGGAGCGTTGATGATGAAGTGTTGATGATGGTGATGATGGAGCGATGATAATGCTGATGGAGTGATAATGATGATGGAGTGTTGATAATGGTGATGTGTTGATGATGGTGATGGAGTGCTGATGATGATGGGATATTTATGATGGAGTGTTGATGATGATGATGGTGTAGTATTGATGATGGAGCGTTGATGATGATGGAGTGTTGTTGATGATAATGATGATGGTGTAGTATTGATGATGGCGTGTTGATGATGATGGAGTGTTGATGATGATGGGATATTGATGATGATGGAGTGTTGATGATGATGGTGTAGTATTGATGATGGAGCGTTGATGATGATGGTTGTGTTGTTGATGCTGATGTAGTATTGATGATGGCGTGTTGATGATGATGATGGGATATTGATGATGGAGTGTTGATGATGATGATGGTGTAGTATTTATGATGGAGTGTTGATGATGTTGATGGTGGTGTAGTATTTATGATGGAGTGTTGATGATGATGATGGAGCGTCGATGATGATGGAGTGTTGATGATGATGGTGGTGTAGTATTTATGATGAAGTGTTGATGATGATGATGGTGGTGTAGTATTTATGATGGAGTGTTGATGATGTTGATGGTGGTGTAGTATTTATGATGGAGTGTTGATGATGATGATGGAGCGTTGATGATGATGGAGTGTTGATGATGATGGTGGTGTAGTATTTATGATGAAGTGTTGATGATGATGATGATGATGGTGGTGTAGTATTTATGATGGAGTGCTGATGATGATGATGATGGAGCGTTGATGATGATGGAGTGTTGATGATGATGGTGGTGTAGTATTTATGATGGAGTGTTGATGATGATGATGGTGGTGTAGTATTTATGAGAGAGTTTTGATGATGATGATGATGATGATGATGGAGCGTTGATCATGATGATGGTGTAGTATTGATGATAAAGTGTTGATGATGGTGATGGTGTAGTATTGATGATGGAGTGTTGATGATGATGATGGTGTAGTATTGATGATGCAGCGTTGATGATGATGGAGTGTTGATGATGATGGGATATTGATGATGGAGTGTTGATGATGATGACGGTGTAGTATTGATGATAAAGTGTTGATGATGATGGTGGTGTAGTATTTATGATGGAGTGTTGATGATGATGATGATGGTGTAGTATTGATTATGGAGCGTTGATGATGATGGAGTGTTGATGATGATGATGATGGGATATTGATGATGGAGTGTTGATGATGATGGTGGTGTAGTATGTATGATTAGTGATGGACTATTGATGATAATGCAGCAATGACAATAACATCGGCTGACTTGGAGAAGGAACGAATGGCGTAAGGCACTACCACGAGAGTACAGGGTTCATACAGGGTTTGCCTATCCTAGTTGGTTAGGGGAGGGGGGGTTGACTCTGCCCATCATCATCATCATCGCACCCACCAGGTTCGATAAATCAGGAATGCTTTGTGGGGAAATCAACGCAAGCTGTCGCATGGAACGACTTGACCCGGACATATGAATGTGGAGTTTCCACCCCCGGTATGTGCACATCTTTAAACAGGAGATGAAGGCCAATGCTTCTGCAATCCTTACTTTGACTATTTTCACCGTGAATAGAAACCACCATTCGGTGAATAGAGATCACGAACACTACCCCTAACACCAACCTTACCCCTAATACCAACCCTACCCCTAACACCAACCCTACCCCTAACACTAACCCTACCCCAAACATCAACTCTACCCCTTACACTAACCCTACCCCTAACACTAACCCTACCCCTAACACTAACCCTACCCCTAACGCCAACCCTACCCCTAACACCAACCCTACCCCTAACACCAATCCTACCCCTAACACCAACCCTAACACTAACCCTATTTCTAACACCAACCCTACCCCTAACATTAACCCTACCTCTAACACCAACCCTACCCCTAACACTAACCCTACCCCTAACACTAACGCTACCCCTAACACTAACCCTACCCCAAACACCAACCCTACCCCTAACACTAACCCTAACACTAACCCTACCCCTAACGGTAACCCTACCCCTAACGCCAATCCTACCCCTAACACTAACCCTACCCCTAACACTAACCCTACCCCTAACACTTTTGCTACCCCTAACACTAACCCTACCCCTAACACCAACCCTACCCCTAACACTAACCCTACCCCTAAAACTAACCCTACCCCTAACACTAACCCTACACCTAAAACTAACCCTACCCCTAACGCCAATCCTACCCCTAACACTAACCCTACCCCGAACACTAACCCTACCCCTAACACTTTTTTAACCCCTAACACTAACCCTACCCATAACACCAACCCTACCCCTAACACTTTTGCTACCCCTAACACTAACCCTACCCCTAACACTAACCCTACCCCTTACACTAACCCTACCCCTAACACTAACCCTACCCCTAACACTAACCCTACCCCTTACACTAACCCTACCCCTAACACTAACCCTACCCCTAACACTAACCCTACCCCTAACACCAACCCTACCCCTAACACCAACTCTAACCCTAACACTAACCCTACCCCTAACACTAACCCTACCCCTAACACTAACCCTACCCCTAATACCAACCCTACCCCTAATACCAACCCTACCCTTAACACTAACCCTACCACTAACACCAACCCTATTACTAACACTAACCCTACACCTAACACTAACCCTACCCCTAACACTAACCCTACCCCTTACGCTAACGCTACCTCTAACACTAATCCTACCCCTAACATCAACCCTACCCCTAACACCAACCCTACTCCAAACACTAACGCTACCTCTAACACTAACCCTACCCCTAACACCAACCCTACCCCTAACACTAACGCTACCCCTAACACTAACCCTACCCCTAACACCAACCCTACCCCTAACACTAATCCTACCCCTAACACCAACCCTACCCCTAACACTAACCCTACCCCTAACACTAACCCTACCCCTAACACCAACCCTACTCCTAACACTAACGCTACCTCTAACACTAACCCTGCCCCTAACACCAACCCTACCCCTAACACCAACCTTACCCCTAACACCAACCCTACCTCTAACACCAACCCTACCCCTAACACTAACCCTACCCCTACCCCTAATACCAACCCGACCCCTAACACCAAGCCTACCCCTAACACTAACTCTACCCTTAACACTAACCCTACCACTAACACCAACCCTATTACTAACACTAACCCGACACCTAACACTAACCCTACCCCTAACACTAACCCTACCCCTTACACTAACGCTACCTCTAACACTAATCCTACCCCTAACATCAACCCTACCCCTAACACCAACCCTACTCCAAACACTAACGCTACCTCTAACACTAACCCTACCCCTAACACCAACCCTACCCCTAACACTAACGCTACCCCTAACACTAACCCTACCCCTAACACCAACCCTACCCCTAACACTAATCCTACCCCTAACACCAACCCTACCCCTAACACTAACCCTACCCCTAACACTAACCCTACCCCTAACACCAACCCTACTCCTAACACTAACGCTACCTCTAACACTAACCCTGCCCCTAACACCAACCCTACCCCTAACACCAACCTTACCCCTAACACCAACCCTACCCCTAACACCAACCCTACCCCTAACACTAACCCTACCCCTACCCCTAATACCAACCCGACCCCTAACACCAAGCCTACCCCTAACACTAACACTACCCCTAACCCCAACCCTACTCCTAACACTAACGCTACCTCTAACACTAACCCTACCCCTAACAACAACCCTACCGCTAACACTAACCATACCCCTAACACTAACCCTACCCCTAACACTAACCCTACCCCTAACATTAACCCTACCCCTAACGCCAATCCTACCCCTAACACTAACCCTACCCCTAACACTAACCCTACCCCTAACACTTTTGCTACCCCTAACACTAACCTTACCCCTAACACCAACCCTACCCCTAACACTAACCCTACCCCTAAAACTAACCCTACCCCTAACACTAACCCTACCCCTAAAACTAACCCTACCCCTAACGCCAATCCTAACCCTAACACTAACCCTACCCCGAACAATAACCCTAACCCTAACACTTTTGCTACTCCTAACACTAACCCTACCCATAACACCAACCCTACCCCTAACACTTTTGCTACCCCTAACACTAACCCTACCCCTAACACTAACCCTACCCCTAACACTAACCCTACCCCTAACACTAACCCTACCCCTAACACTAACCCTACCCCTAACGCCAACCCTACCCCTAACACTAACTATACCCCTACCACTAACCCTACCCCTAACACTAACGCTACCCCTAACACTAACCCTACCCCTAACACTAACCCTACCCCTAACACTATCCCTACCCCTTACACTAACCCTACCCCTAACACCAACCCTACCCCTAACACTAACCCTACCCCTTACACTAACCCTACCCTAACACTAACCCTACCCCTAACACTAACCCTACCCCTAACGCCAACCCTACCCCTAACACTAACTATACCCCTAACACTAACCCTACCCCTAACACTAATGCTACCCCTAACACTAACCCTACCCCTAACACTAACCCTACCCCTAACACTAACCCTACCCCTTGCAGTAACCCTACCCCTAACACCAACCCTACCCTTAACACCAACCCTACCCCTAACACCAACCCTACCCCTAACACCAACTCTAACCCTAACACTAACCCTACCCCTTACACTAACCCTAACCCTAACACTTACCCTACCCCTAATACCAACCCTACCCCTAATACCAACCCTACCCCTAACACCAACCCTACCCCTAACACCAACCCTACCCCTAACACCAACGCTACCCCTAACACTAACGCTACCCCTAACACTAACCCTACCCCTAACACCAACCCTACCCCTAACACCAACCATACCCCTAACACAAACCCTACCCCTAACACTGACCCTACCTCTAACACCAACCCTACCCCTAACACTAACCCTAACACTAACCTTACCCCTTACACTAACCCTACCTCTAACACTAACCCTACCCCTAATACCAACCCTACCCCTAACACCAACCCTACCCCTAACACCAACGCTACCCCTAACACCAACCCTACCCCTAACACCAACGCTACCCCTAACACTAACGCTACCCCTAATACCAACCCTACCCCTAACACCAACGCTACCTCTAACACTAATCCTACCCCTAACACTTTTGCTACCCCTAACACTAACCCTACCCCTAACACTAATCCTACCCCTTACACTAACCCTACTCCTAACACCAACCCAACCCCTAACACTAACCCTACCCCTAACACCAACCCTACCTCTAACACCAACCCTACTCTTAACACTAACCCTACTCCTAACACTAACCCTACCCCTAATACCAACCCTACCCCTAATACCAACCCTACCCCTAACACTAACCCTACCCCTAACACTACCCCTACCCCTAACACTAACCCTACCCCTAACACTAACTCTACCCTTAACACTAACTCTACCACTAACACCAACCCTATTACTAACACTAACCCTACACCTAACACTAACCCTACCCCTAACACTAACCCTACCCCTTACACTAACGCTACCTTTAACACTAATCCTACCCCTAACATCAACCCTACCCCTAACACCAACCCTACTCCAAACACTAACGCTACCTCTAACACTAACCCTACCCCTAACACCAACCCTACCCCTAACACTAACGCTACCCCTAACACTAACCCTAACACCAACCCTACCCCTAACACTAACCCTACCCCTAACACCAACCCTACCCCTAACACTAACCCTACCCCTAACACTAACCCTACCCCTAACACCAACCCTACTCCTAACACTAACGCTACCTCTAACACTAACCCTACCCCTAACACCAACCCTACCCCTAACACGAACCTTACCCCTAACACCAACCCTACCCCTAACACCAACCCTACCCCTAACACTAACCCTACCCCTACCCCTAATACCAACCCGACCCCTAACACCAAGCCTACCCCTAACACTAACGCTACCCCTAACACCAACCCTACTCCTAACACTAACGCTACCTCTAACACTAACCCTACCCCTAACAACAACCCTACCCCTAACACTAACCATACCCCTAACACTAACCCTACACCTAACACTAACCCTACCCCTAACACTAACCCTACCCCTAATACCAACCCTACCCCTAGCACCAACGCTACCTCTAACACTAACCCTACCCCTTACACTAACCCTACCCCTAACACTAACCCTACCCCTAACACCAACCATACCCCTAACACCAACCCTACCCGTAACACTAACGCTACCCCTAACACTAACCCTACCCCTAACACCAACCCTACCCCTAACACTAACCCTACCCCTAACACTAACCCTACCCCTAACACCAACCCTACTCCTAACACTAACGCTACCTCTAACACTAACCCTACCCCTAACACCAACCCTACCCCTATCACCAACCTTACCCCTAACACCAACCCTACCCCTAACACCAACCCTACCCCTAACACTAACCCTACCCCTACCCCTAATACCAGCCCGACCCCTAACACCAAGCCTACCCCTAACACTAACGCTACCCCTAACACCAACCATACTCCTAACACTAACGCTACCTCTAACACTAACCCTACCCCTAACAACAACCCTACCCCTAACACTAACCCTATCCCTAACACTAACCCTACCCCTAACACTAACCCTACCCCTAACACTAACCCTACCCCTAACACTAACCCTATCCCTAACACTAACCCTACCCCTAACACTAACCCTATCCCTAACACTAACCCTTCCCCTAACACTAACCCTATCCCTAACACTAACCCTACCCCTAACACTAACCCTACCCCTAACACTAACCCTACCCCTAACTCGAACCTTACCTGAGAGGTGTGGGACGATAGCAGTCACTGACGCTGCTGCTGCTTCCTCCCGAGGTCCCTGGAGAATGAGGCTCGCATCCAGACCATTCGTCAGAGCCCCGAAGGGACACACGGAGCTCTGTGTGTGTGAGACCCCCCCCCCCCCCTGTCTACCCCACCCCCCACCCCCTCCGTGTGCTCGGCCTGTCTCTCTCCCCCTGGCAGACGCGGGCTACTGGCCATGGGTGATGGTGGTCAACAGGACGGGTGGGTGACGTGGGTAGAGACATCAACCCTCCCCTCTGACCCTACACCCTGCCCTCTGACCCTACACCCTGCCCTCTGACCCTACACCCTGCTCTTTGACCCTACACTCTTCCCTCTGACCCTACACCCTCCCCTCTGACCCTACACCCTGCCCTCTGACCCTACACCCTGTCATCTGACCCTACACCCTGTCATCTGACCCTACACCCGCCCCTCTGACCCTACACGCTGCCCTCTGACCCTACACCCTGCCCTCTGACCCTACACCCTGTAATCTGACCCTACAACCTGCCCTCTGACCCTACATCCTCCCCTCTGACCCTACACTCTTCCCTCTGACCCTACACCCTGTCATCTGACCCTACACTCTGCCCTCTGACCCTACACCCTCCCCTCTGACCCTACACCCTGCCCTCTGACCCTACACCCTCCCCTCTGACCCTACACCCTCCCCTCTGACCCTACATCCTGCCCTCTGACCCTACACCCTGTCATCTGACCCTACACCCTACCCTCTGATCCTACACCCTGCCCTCTGACCCTACACTCTTCCCTATGACCCTACACCCTCTCCTCTGATCCTACATCCTCCCCTCTGACCCTACACCTGCTCTCTGACCCTACACTCTGCCCGCTATGTATGTCTATGTAAAGTCTCTATGTGTCTATATGTATGTCTATGTAAAGTTTCTATGTGTCTCTATGTATGTCTATGTAAAGTCTCTATGTGTCTCTATGTATGGCTACGTAAAGTCTCTATGTGTCTCTATGTAAGTCTATGTAAAGTCTCTATGTGTCTCTATGTATGTCTATGTAAAGTCTCTATGTGTCTCTATGTATGTCTATGTAAAGTCTCTATGTGTCTCTATGTCTGTCTATGTAACGTCTCTATGTGTCTCTATGTATGTCTATGTAAAGTCTCTGTGTCTCTAAGTATGTCTCTGAATATCTGTACCATGTTAGTGACCTTGGTATCACACATAGTCCACTTGTCTTTTATGTGTCTCTATTTATGTCAATGTGTGTCTATGTGTGTCTATGTGTCTCCATGTGGCTCTATGTGTGCCTATGTGTCACTATGCGTTTCCATGTGGCTCTATGTATGTCTATGTGTCTGTATGTGTCTGTATGTGTTTGTATGTGTCTGTATGTGTCGCTATATATGTCTATGAATCTCTGTGCCATGTCAGTGACCCGGGCCTCACACAGGGTCCACTTGTCTCTAAGTGTCTCTATGTATGTCTATGTGTCTCTATGTGTCTCTATGTATGTCTATGTGTCTCTATGTGTCTCTATGTATGTATATGTGTCTCTATGTATCTCTACGTATCTATATGTGTCTCTATGTGTCTCTATGTGTGTCTATGTGTCTCTATATGTCTTTATGTGTGTATATGTGTCTCTATGTGTCTCTATGTATGTCTATGTGTCTCTTTGTGTGTCTATGTGTCTCTATGTGTCTCTATGTGTGTATATGTGTTTCTATGTATGTCTATGTGTCTCTATGTGTCTCTATGTGTGTATGTGTGTCTCTATGTATGTCTATGTGTCTCTATGTGTCTCTTGGTGTGTCTATGTGTCTCTTTGTATGTCTATGTGTCTCTATGTGTCTCTATGTGTGTCTCTATGTGTCTCTTTGTGTGTCTATGTGTCTATGTATGTCTATGTGTCTCTATGTGTCTCTATGTGTATATGTGTCTCTATGTATGTCTATATGTCTCTATGTGTCTCTTTGTGTGTCTATGTGTCTCTACGTATGTCTATGTGTCTCTATGTGTCTCTATGTATGTCTATGTGTCTCTATGTATCTCTATGTGTCTCTATGTATGTCTATGTGTCTCTATGTGTCTCTTTGTGTCTCTATGTGTCTCTATGTGTCTCTATGTGTGTATATGTGTCTCTATGTGTCTCTATGTATGTCTATGTGTCTCTATGTGTCTCTTTGTGTGTCTATGTGTCTCTATGTATGTCTATGCGTCTCTATGTGTCTCTATGTGTCTCTATGTGTGTATATGGGTGTCTATGTATATGTATGTATGTCTACTTATGCGCCCACCGAAGATGAACATCAGTGAAGGGATGCAGGCAAGGCCGATGAGCCAGATGCCTGCTATGTCCTCCTATCACAGGTACTAGCTAAAGTGGGCATGATGCTGGCACCTGGTCTGGAGTGATTGGAGGGCATGGGCCAGATCAGCTCAATAACAACGGCAGGAGGCTGCTAGACTTTTGTGCAGCCCATGGGCTTGTAATTACCAACACGCTGTTCCGGCATCGGCGCATCCACACAACATCATGGATGCTCGCCGGGTCCAAACAAGAACATCTGCTGGACTATTTAGTGATGAAACAGGGGATGCGGGTCCATTCTTCCACTCCAGTGGTGGGTGTACACCCAGGACCCCAAACATCTTCACCGGTTAGAAACATTACGCTAGCCTGCCTACGATCCATCCTGGGGTTAACCAGGCTGGATTGTGCGAGGAGCTCACAAATCCTTGAAAGATCTGGACAAAGTCCCATCGGTGAGCTCCTCCGGCAGGCAAGGCTGCGTTGGCTGGGTCATGTAGCCCGCATGCCCAGCCACCGCATGCCTAAACAGCTTTTGTTTGGCCAGATAGAGGGGGTTAAACAGGCGCGGCACGGGCTAGAGAAGAGATGGAGTGATGTGGTACAATAGGATGTGGAGCTGAGTGGACTTGCCAATGACCGGTAGCAGCGGTGTCAAGATCGGCCTCTGTGGAGGAGGCTCGTGAAGGACGCCGCTACTGGGCAGTTGGAGGCAGTCGCCCTCCACCAACAACGGAGGGCGGAGAAGCGACGCTCACAATAATGGGCGGAGCGCCAAGTGGCTAAAACACCGCAAGGTGGCACAGTAGGGGGCACAGGTGGTGCATCAGCCAGTCATCTCAGTCAACCCGTGGCACCTGGGTCTGCCCCGTGACCTCCTGCCAGCGAGCGTTCGACATTTCATGTAGCCTCAACGTGCACATAGCCTGGCACAAGCGCCGTGGTGACGTCATCATCATACAACAACCACCGCCACGTGTCTCACACACAGTCGACTTTTCACTACGTGTCTCTATGCATGTCTATGTATGTCTATGTATCTCTATGTATGTCTATGTATGTATATGTATCTCTGTGCCATGTTAGTGACACGTGTCTCACACACAGTCCACTTATCACTATGTGTCTCTGTGTATGTCTATGTGTGTCTATGTGTGTCTGTGTGTGTCTATGTATCTCTATGTGTGTCTGTGTATGTCTATGTATCTCTATCTGTGTCTATGTATGTCTATGTATGTCTATGTATGTCTGTGTATGTCTATGTGTGTCTGTGTGTATCTATGTGTCTCTACGTATGTCTATGTGTGTCTGTGTATGTCTATGTGTGTCTGTGTGTGTCTATGTGTCTCTACGTATGTCTATGTATGTCTATGTATGTCTATGTATGTCTATGTGTGTCTATGTGTGTCTGTGTATGTCTATGTATGTCTATGTGTGTCTATGTATGTCTATGTGTGTCTGTGTATGTCTGTGTATGTTTATGTATGTCTATGTATCTCTATATGTGTCTGTGTATGTCTATGTATGTCTATGTATGTCTATGTGTGTCTGTGTGTGTCCATGTATCTGTATGTATGTCTATGTATGACTGTGTGTGTCTATGTATCTCTATGTATGTCTATGTATGTCTATGTATGTCTGTGTGTGTCTATGTGTCTCTACGTATGTATATGTATGTCTATGTATGTCTATGTATGTCTATGTATCTCTGTGCCATGTTCATGATCCGGGTCTTAACGGCGGAATTTCGCCGATGAGGAATTTGTCGCGGGCGTGCCGCGCAATCCTCGTCGCCACCTGTGGGCGAGTCACAAAGTCTTGGTGATGTTATTGATGGTGATGGAGGGGTGATATTGATGAAGTCTTGGTGATGTTATTGATGGTGATGGAGGGGTGATGATGATGGAGTCTTGGTGATGTTATTGATGGTGATGGAGGGGTGATGATGATGGAGTCTTGGTGATGTTATTGATGGTGATGGAGGGGTGATAATGATGGAGTGTTGGTGATGTTATTGATGGTAATGGAGGGGTGATGATCGTGGAGTGTTGGTGATGTTATTGATGGTGATGTAGGGGTGATGATGATGGAGTGTTGGTGATGTTATTGATGGTGATGGAGGGGTGATGATGAAGGGGTGTTGGTGATGTTATTGATGGTGATGGAGGGGTGATGATGATGGAGTGTTGGTGATGTTATTGATGGTGATGGAGGGGTGATGATGATGGAGTGTTGGTGATGTTATTGATGGTAATGTAGGGGTGATGATGATGGAGTGTTGGTGATGTTATTGATGGTGATGGAGGGGTGATGATGATGGGGTGTTGGTGATGTTATTGATGGTGATGGAGGGGTGATGATGATGGGGTGTTGGTGATGTTATTGATGGTGATGGAGGGGTGATGATGATGGGGTGTTGGTGATGTTATTAATGGTGATGGAGGGGTGATGTTGATGGGGTGTTGGTGATGTTATTGATGGTGATGGAGGGGTGATGATGATGGAGTGTTGGTGATGTTATTGATGGTGATGGAGGGGTGATGATGATGGGGTGTTGGTGATGTTATTGATGGTGATGGAGGGGTGATGATGATGGGGTGTTGGTGATGTTATTGATGGTGATGGAGGGGTGATGTTGATGGGGTGTTGGTGATGTTATTGATGGTGATGGAGGGGTGATAATGATGGAGTGTTGGTGATGTTATTGATGGTGATGGAGGGGTGATGATGATGGAGTGTTGGTGATGTTATTGATGGTGATGGAGGGGTGATGATGATGGAGTGTTGGTGATGTTATTGATG